ACACCGACGCTAACCTCCAGCTGACGGCCCTTCGATGATTTATTCATCTCTAATTCGCTGTTTTGCATTTAAATTCCTGACACTTTAGACGCCGATAGACAAAACTCATTACTGTATCTGCGCCGGAGTTTTAAGACTCATTACTGTATTTGCGCCGGAGTTTGGTTCGTCAGACGGAGGTTAATTAAGTTATTCCACATGTGATTCATTATTAACTAAAGATCAGGTTTTACAGACGCACTGTTACTGTTGGTTTAATATAAAAGCACTTCAATTTATTCATTTGAATGTATTTTATGAATCCTTTGCTATGACAGTAACTGTAGTGTCATTATTTTTGTCTTACTTTGAGTATGTTTTTGTGGCCAACCACACGTCATTTGGAAACATTGGAAATTTTAGCTTTTTATTTAGCTTTATGGCTAATGTGAAGTTTGGGGGCTTTTTTAACTACTTTAAGATTTGATTGATAGTTTTTTTTTTTTGTTATTGTTATTTTTTGTTATTTCTGCCAAGACTTTCTATTTTTTGGTTACATCCTGGCTAGTTTTTAGGTGTTTTCTGCTCTTACCTGAAGCTAATTGTTAGCCATTTATTGGCTTACCTTTAGTTACCTTTTAGTTTGCGAAATTGTAGCTGTTTTTTTTTGGTGAAATCATGGCTGTCAGAAGCCGATATCATGTGAATTTAAGAGGCAGTTTCTGATATTTAAAGGTCATTTTTACCCAGATCAGGGGAGATGTTTTCTGTGCAGACAACAGTATTTATTTATACTCCCTTATCTAAATAACTTTTCATATCATATCCTCCAGAAGAAATGTTTTAATTGCCAAAACCGTCCAGGGTCCAATGCCCTTGCAGCTGTTCTCCAGGGCCAGACTTTATGACTCAGTGTGTAAATATTTTATCTGCACCGTAAATATAGCTGCAGCCTATGATGTTAGCTTTGGTCAAGTGCTTTCTTTGGATCATGAAAAGAGCTGCAGAGACTGGATTGGTTTTTGGCTCATCTATCTTTCACTTCACTTTTCACCTCTCACTTTATTCCCCTGTAAGACTTAAGGAGGTTCTTATTTCTACTGGCAGCCGGGGGAAGGAAACCGTGTTATCAACGGGCGGAAATGGAGGACAGATTACTTTAAAACTCTGCCGTGTCATTAGATATGTAATCCTGGTCTACATCACGCTGCTTTGTGACATGTCCGCTATGAAATGTCTTGAATAAAGACTTTGTGTTTAATAGGAGAAAATTCTAATAGTAGAAAACCAGAAGTTTACTGTCGAAATCTGTCTCTACATTTCCTCCAGATCCGTCCTGTAGTAGAAAACCAGAAGTTTACTGTCGAAGTCTGTCTCTACATTTCCTCCAAATCCGTCCTGTCTGATTCTGGAGACTTTTCTTTGGGCTTTTGTACTAATAAAAATATATGTTTCTTACTCCATTTGTGAGTTGGAAAAACAATTGGTTCTCCAAGTTCTGGATCAGGTTCACAGAGGCCTGGAAGTAGACGACTGGACTTTCAAGAAGACTATTTATTTTTGACAATGTCAATTCCATTAAGAGTAAAAAACAGGATAAAACATGGCTGGAGACATTGGTGCGTACGTCGGTGTGGAAACCACACGACTATAGGATTGAACTACTGGACTTTAGCATGGACCATGTACTGACACCATGAAACCTTCATTGATTTTCGATAAGAAATATACAGATCCATTATGATCCTCAGTTTCAGTTAGATGAATATTTTTACCACCTAAAAACCATGAGCCGTTTCCTGACCAGCTGATAATCAGGTACCAGCCCATGGTAATATTAGTACCTATTGTTATTTCAGTTTTATTTAATATATTCACTCTGACAATAGTTAATAGTGAAAGTATTTTGATTGAGCCCCGTTCGACACCAGAGTCTTTCTTCTTAGTCTTAACGACCCAAACAACAAATACCAGCCAATCAAAGTGTCATTTATATTTGGAGACAGGACTGAGTCTAACCAATCAACTGCATCAATCATTTCTAACTAACTGACTGATAAACCAGCCTACGGTTGTGGTTTCTTTTTACTGGGACGTCTGTGGTCAAAACTCGTGGTAAGACGATGAAGAGGGACATTCTTCTTCATAGTCGACATTTCTCTGTGATCACTACATCACTCTACCTTCGCCTCCAATCATTGGTCCAAACTCGCGCTTCCTGTGATGATGACGGACGTCCTCATGATTTATTCACCTGACGGAACTTTAATCAGCGCCACCATTTCCTCCACTGTTACGCGGTCAATAATGAAGCCTGGCTCCTGTTGTATCCTCTTATCAGATCTGCTCTGACCAGGACG